ATAGGCTCAACGGACCGTCGGACCCTCTATAAGGTACTCACACCGCAACGTCGTCCGGTATATACTTCCTCATCCACGCTACTTATGTAACTCCGCTGAGATCGTAGCACGTTCGTGAAGGAATCAGATATTGGATCCGTCGGGGATAATGTATCTGGTGAATGCCAAGCAGGCTTGCCTGGCTTTTGCTCCCAACGGGGATGATACTGACATGGTGATAATCGGGAATACTCAGCAGAGGAGGTTTAACGTTGTGTATGATGTTGGGAGGAAGTTGATTGGGTTTGGGGCCGGAAGTTGCTAGTTTGCGCTTAAAAAACTTTGATTTTGAAAGTACGAAGGTTTGAAAAGTTTGGGGTGATATAAAATGTTGATGTCCATAGATTGTAATAAGACGAGTTTTATAATGTATATGTCTTGAGAAGAAAACTTTGATAATGTACATGTCATTCAATGTGAGTTTCCCCAACCCCACACCTCAACAACGGTATGATCATACTTGTCATCAGATAAACATTCTCACTATAATTGAAGTCAGATCTCTAATAAAACAAGATTTTTCTCTAGACGCAAATAATACAGACAAAATTTGTAATGTTTGTTCAAGGTTTGTTGAAATTGAAATCAATAATTTTTTTAAAAAATTCATTTTTGAAGGAAAATAAGGTCATTTTCATGTTCGTTAGAAGGTATACTTCTGAGAATTAATACTGATTGAAAGATAGACGGTTCCTGATTTAATGAATTTTTAGATTCAAGGAACCATCACTCTCATAGCATCATGGCTTAAAATGTATAAGTTCATACTCACCATCAAATAAACCTTCTCACTATAATTGAAGTCAGATCTCTAATAAAACTAGATTTTTCAAGGTTGTAATGGTTGTTCAAGGTTTATTGAAATTGAAATCAATAATTTTTTAAATATTCATTTTTGAAGGAAAATAAGGTCATTTTCATGTTTGTTAAAAGTATACTTCTGAGAATTAATGATCTCTTCAAAATATCACTCTCTGTGGTCCAACATTTCTCTCCACAAGCAAAATTCTAGTTTTCTGGCTATGAACATGAACGCATAATCTTATTTGTCTGGCTATGAACATGAACGCATAATCTTATTCGAAAATGCCACTCCTTGTGGTCCAACATTTCTCTCCACAAGCAAAATTCTATTTGTCTGGCTATGAACACGAACAAGCGCATAGGATTCTGAAAACTACAGCATTTTAAGTTGTGACCTTGGATCATGAATGCATTACAATGATAGAATTTCACAGGAAAAACAAGCAAAATGTTTTCTGCTGTATTGTTATGAGAATTCGAACTGAAATATCAGGAAGTTAAAGAATAGAGTAACACCAATGCTCTTGAAATGAGATAAAGAGAATATTATCTTCTTTTATTTATCAAGATAAGAACCAATGACACAAAGGAGAAAAAGATGACTGAAAGAATGAATGAAAAAAAAGAAAAAGAATAGTCTTATTATTATCTCACGCTCCAGCGCTCCGTTTTGATTGAATTAATTGGCCTCTCAAGCTGCATTCAGTCATCTAAAATGTCGAAAAAGGGTAGAATTATGAGTATGTAAAAAAAAAACTAAAAATTTTACTTAAAAAAACCAAGGGAAAGTTAGTGTACCTGCAAATTATGTGCTTGAGATAAGAGACTTCCACACTCTTCTATTAGAGCTCTTTCAGTACTAACTAGCTCTGCAAGATTTGAGATTACATCTTCAACAACTTCACCCTGTAATAAATAAATAAACCAAAAATTACTTATTTGAGATATGTGTGAACATGGTAAACAAGATTATAACAAAACTTAATTACAACACAAGCATTCTAACCTTCGGTACAAATCTCTGAACACAGGGAGATAGACAACTGAATATATTCATTATGGAGTCAAAAACTTCCTTGAGATCTTTAACATCGGCCTGCGAGCAAAAAAGATCGTAGCATGAAGATATATGAGCGCAAGGAGAAAAAGAAATATTATTAATCATACAAGAAGAATAAAGATTTACGTACCTTCACATTTCCAGTGATAGGTAGCCGGAGGGAAGCATCCTGTAGAGCCTTTGTTACTCCTGTGAGAGAGCTTGAATAATCTTCTTCTGCACTTGACCAGTTATCCAAATATGGCATCTGCAAGTTGCAAATGGTGATAAGTTTATATTATTGAGATAATAAGATTAACAGTAGGCACAGTTGTAATTATTTATTTGAAGGAATTTGCTAGGGACTTGTTTCACTTTCACTTATTACAGAATTTTGGGGGCATTTAGCTCTTATTGATTTATAAATCCATGGATGTGAAGAGGAAAATTTTGACCTGATATATTCTGTAACATCCATGGAGGGGGACGAGAAAAAGAATAAATAGCTTTCAGTATAAAAATTAGATGCATCGCAGAAAATCATTATAATGTTTGTCCTGGTTGAACTCTAGACAATATAAAGGCGCTAATGTAACGCCCCGCCCCGGAATCCCGGAGTCGGTACGCTATTAGATCTGATGGACTAGCCTCACAAACCACCACATATCTTTTCAGCACGTTTTGTCCTCACTCACGCGCTCCCTGGAAAACTTCCCAGGGGGTCACCCATCCTAGAATTTCTCCAGGCCAAGCACGCTTAACAATTAAATCTGATGGACTGGCCTCACAAACCACCACATATCTTTTCAGCACGTTTTGTCCTCACTCACGCGCTCCCTGGAAAACTTCCCAGGGGGTCACCCATCCTAGAATTTCTCCAGGCCAAGCACGCTTAACTTTGGAGTTTCTAAGAGTTGGGTTTCCGAAAAGAAGATGCATCTTGGTGGTATGAGTATTCCAATCAAATCTAGTAATACTAATCACATCACCCTCTCAAGGGTTGGGGTATTACAGCTAACGTATCGAAGGAACTGATAATTTTTTTAAACAATTTATGGTTTAGAAAATGGAAGCCTCGTTTGAAACTTAATACGAAGGGGAAGGGGAAAAAAAGGAAAAGAGGAATTTTTTTTCCCCAGGAACTTAGACCTCGATGATAACTTTTTTTTATCGAAAGAAATTTCATGCTCTTCAGTAGGACATTTTCCCTCCCTTCTGCTAACTAGTAGTGATGCTACATTAGGATGATAATATAGTACTGGAAATGTTTGTCCAAGACAAGTGCAAATCTTTTAAGTAGTGATGCTAGTACTGTAGTATTCAGTTGGAAGTAGGGGCCAGTATAAAGCCCAAGTGAAAGTCAAGATTATGGAATAGTGATGGTATGCTGTAGGTTTATTGAAACTTGGGTATTAACATCTATAATCTATACTTTAGGGGTAACTCATCTAGTCTCTAGCATACATAGGTGAGGCCTAAGGCACCAAATTTATCATCTCTTGCATCCTAGAAGTTTCTAGTGGCTGTTTTGAGGTCAAAAATGGCACTATGCTATGCCAGTTTGGGGAACAATCCACTCCCTCAAGGTAAATATTCTAGCAGTACAAAAGGGGTTTCTTTCAAAATGTACCTTATCTCAAAAGAAAATGTTACAGGCACACTGTGAACCACACCACAAACCACAATCTCTCTCTCTACAGTGCAGTGGGGCCCACACATGATTTTTTTAAAAAAATCATGTGTGGGCCCACTGCACTGTAGAGAGAGATTGTGGTTGAATGTGTGGTTCGCAGTGTGCTTGTACGTAACACCACTCTATCTCAAAAACTTAGGGACTGTGCAGGCAATTTTAAAGTCTAGACCGATGAAGGTTTGCAGAATCAAGAATTAATAGTGTATAAAGATATTTCCTAACTAAATTATGAAATCCCATGATTATTATTTTGCAAAGGAAATTTTTTTTCTCACTCTCTAC